AAAGTTGTGACATTATATATTGAACAATAAATTTTCGTTTTCCAAGAAATGTTCTTTCTTCTCTCTGTGAATCGTTTATTTCTTTAGTAAATAATTTCAATCATGTGTAATAATTTTTAAGGAACTGCTAAGGGAAATGTTGAGCAATTTGAACATCATAAAAGCAACCTACCGGCCTAAACTTTTAGAAAAACTGGAAGAACTGCAAATTCAATTAAATATTTGCGAGAAAGCTTTGGCAGATTACTTGGAAACAAAGAGATTAATTTATCCCAGGTTTTATTTTATCTCCTCGGCAGATTTACTTGATATATTAAGCAACGGTTAGTATAATAATTATTAAACTACGAATTTTTTTATGCAATTTTCATGAAATATTTAAAGATGCAAAAAATGTATGTAATACATATGTATGTAATAATATGTAAAAATGTACAGGATGTTTTATTTCTGTTCTATGATTAGAAATTTAAAAAAAATATTATATAAACATAGAATCATAAATATTTTATTACAAGATAGAATATTTAAATTTACATTATAAAGTAGAATATTTAAAGTAGAAAACAATTTTTGTTGTTTGAATTTCAGTTTGTAGAAATATAAAAATGCATAAAAATCCGCAGTCTAGTAATTAGTATATTAGTTTGAAATATAGAGCAACGTTTTTAGTATAATTAAATTGTATTTAAATGAAGAACTTTTATCAAAATTGAACGTATGAATTTAAAATTGAATTTGAAACTGTTGAATACATTGTTTCTCAAGGAAACAATCCTGAATTGGTCTGCAGACATTTGTCAAAGCTGTACGATTCTATTGCGAAATTAAAGTGGAAAATGGATGGCGATAAGCCGACAAAACATGCCATAGTTATGATTGCCAAAGACGGTGAAAACATGAGTATTTACGGCACCTGTGATTGTAGTGGAAAGGTATTTACTCATAGTAAATACGAAAATATAATTTTAATACTTTATACTTAACTATTTTATTTTATTGCACAGTTTGTCTTTTAGAGTCATCTACTTCTTTGCCTTTTTTTTTTTGTTTGACTTCTAACACTCTCTGTGCTTTCTTCTTTCTGCCTTTCGCTTCTTGTTTTCTATCCTGTTTGTTATTTTTCTATAATTTTCTCTTTTACGTCACATGTAAACACGATTCAAAAACACTCAGGAATTATTTTCATAAATATGCTCAATGATCGAAAACGTTCGACGAGTGGAAAAATGGCCAGTTGCGACCATAGAAGAAATATGTTCTGGTACATTAAAAAAAATGTTACGATACGAAATTTATGCATCGATGATAACATGATTGTGACATTTTTATAATGGCACTCGTTCCTTGATTATACGCATTATTTTTTTATGCGGATATTACTCTCTCTCTCTCTCTCTGTTTATGCGAACTTTTTATACGCAATTTCAATTTACACGATCTTTTCTTTTCTTTTTTCTTCCATTAATAGCAATTACTAAACTGCGGATGTTTATGTAAATTTATATTTTTTTTGTGAGCATAGTTAAAAAACAGATCTTCAATATCAAATTATTCTATGCAAATAAAAAACACTGTGTTTGGTATATTTTTTCCACATCACGCAATTTGGCACTTTTAAAATTCTCTGCAAATACATAAAAATCCGCAATATATAATTATTTATAACACATAAATTTATATATATTTATATAATAATTTATATAATTAATTATATTATATTGACTTATAATTAATTATATTATATTGACAGACGTATAGTTCTGAAGGAATTAAATAAACATATATGCAAATTTTCAAAGCGTTGTAATTTTATTAAATTAAGGTCGTTATAAAATTTTTTAAAGTTATTTATTTTCTTACGAAAATCTAATATTCCTTACAAAGTATAGATATTTTGTAATACATTCAATCTGGTAGAATTGACACAATATACATATATCTCGTTTCGCTTCTTTTTTACTTTGAACTGCACACTTTGCAAGATTTTTAAAGTTATTTTTTTCTCTCCTTCTCCAACAATTTCTTTGAAGAATATACTTCATGTTTCCAAATGCATTGTTGTCTCAGTTAGTATGAATAAACGTAAATCTCCCGTTCTTTAAGTTTTAAATTGAATCATATCATGTTATATTAATTAAATTGAAGTATTAATAATATTACATAATATAAATAATATTCAATCAAACATTTCATTCGTGTTGTAATTTTTTCTAGGTGGAAGTTTGGTTGAACCATGTAACAGATGCAATGAAGAGATCGGTAAGATACCACATATCCCAAGCGGTAACTACATACGATGAAAAGCCGCGAGAACAATGGATTTTCGATCATGAAGCTCAGCCCGCGCTATGCGGAACTCAGATTTGGTGGACTACAGAAGTGAACATGGCCTTTTTGAGATTAGAGGAAGGCTTCGAGAACGCGTTCAAAGATTACCAGCGGAAACAAATTAATCAGTTGAACGCGTTAATAGTGCTCCTCGGCGGGGAATTAAGTGATAGCGACAGAAGAAAAATTATGACAATTTGTACGATAGACGTACACGCAAGAGATGTTGTAGCGAAAATGATCGCGATGAAGGCGGACCATTTTTCCAGTTTTCAGTGGCAATCGCAACTTAGACACAGGTAAAATGATTAATTCAATTATATATAAGTAGAACAATTTAACAATCATTACATGTTGTACAATTGATTTACAAATGATTGATTTAATCGTACAAGTAAAACAATTTACATCCGTAAGACGAAATATTTTGTCATATTACAAATTGATTATATTACAAATTGATTATTTTTTTATATGCTACAAGGCTACCGTTAGATTATTCCATTATTGAGACAAGGTGTTCCACTGTAAGGTTCCCAATTTACTAAGATCCACCGTTCCAAGAAATTCTGAATCGTAATGGTAACATCTTATTTAGCCTTCGAAGAACAATCGTCGCTAAAGATTATAGTTTCATATACAAGGCATATCGACTAGAAACAATAGCGATCGTAAATAGTAGCGTACTAAGTTTTATTACCAATACGGAGAAGGATCAAGGTTGTGCCTCAGAGGATGTGCCTGACGTACCATAGAGCTCAATAAAAATTGGCACGACGCACTAATCTACAAACTGTACGAAATAATTAAGATAAAGAATTACCTCACAGACAGAAGGATGTACGTTTGAATAAAAGGCACCAACTCTAGCGTAAGAGAGATCAAAGCTATAATCCCACGAAAAACGTAAAAAATGAACATGATGATATATTCACGAAGTATACCATTAAGTGTGACGACATATGAAATTTTAGCATTTCTTAGAAAACGAAATGTTTTTGTATGTCTTATTATTTTTGAGATATAATCTGTTACAATCGGCAAGAATATCACCCTGTGATATTCCTTTTCAAATAGAGTGTATTTAGAGATAAAATTTTTTATCGTCTCGACCCATCAATTACAAAAACTTTTCACTTCGAATGATCAAACATTTTATTTAACAGATGGGACGATAAAGTTGGTGATTGTTTCGCTGACATTTGCGATGCATCCTTCAAATACAATTATGAATATTTGGGGAATGTTCCACGATTGGTAATAACACCATTGACCGATAGATGTTACATCACTTTAACGCAATCGTTACATCTTATAATGGGTGGAGCACCCGCTGGTCCAGCTGGAACTGGAAAAACAGAAACCACGAAAGATTTAGGAAGAGCGCTGGGCCAAATGGTTTATGTGTTTAATTGTTCTGAGCAAATGGATTACAAGGTAAAGTTATAACTGTTTGATAAATAAATTTTTTTTTCTATGTTAAAATTGAATCGACCGATTGAAGAATAATAATTACATATCCAAATGTTACATTTTGAAACATTTACTTTTTTTTACATTGTCAACATAACTTTTTTTGTAATAAATTTAAATGCATTCGTGCTAGTTCAGATGAGCATACAGTTCATTCGTGAATTTTTTATAATGAATATTAGAATAAATACAAGAGAAGCAAATTGTAAACAAAGTAGCATTAAGAATTATTGGAACTTTAACATTACTTTCTATAAATATTTCTCGATAAGTAGAATACAGTGCGACGAAAATTTGATTTTGGAAATCAAAGACAAGATCAATTTTGTAGGAACTTTTTTAACCGATTCAAAAGTGTAGAATCACGCTATAGTACTTGTAACATGATTTTGATACATCCTATATGTATTCTACATGTACGTGTAAATTATTAAATCTAAATGACAATTAAAATGAATAGATTTATCGTGTTTCTCTCCAAACAGAAATTAATAATAATTTTGACAAAAATACTTGTATTTTTTAAGCAACAGATGAAAATCTGAAATTTACATTGTTCATATTTTTATTTCAGTAAATATGCAAAATTTTTTTAAACATGCAGGATGAAACATATAAACTACTATGAATAAATAAAAATCACTTAATAATCTAAAGTATATTTTGTAGAAGAATATTATACAAAGAATTTAACATTTTACAAGAATCATGATGTTATAAATTTAGTTTCCTTTATTTTTTGTTATTTTGGGAATTCCAAAAAGTAATAGATAACTTTTCTGTCAGAAAAATATTTATTCTATTTCTGATAACAAACAATATATTTGTTGTAAATATAACAGTATTTACAGTTATAAATTAACAATTAACATATAAAAGTTAACGAGATATTTGCTATAACTTTCTTGATTTCATTACTTGCTTTCATGATCTATATAGAATACAATCAAAGTGATTTCTTTCGTTTTACATGCAATTTGATAATTAAGGACAGTGACGGCAAGTTTTCATGATCATTACGATCTCTGGATTTGATGTCAGTAAATTAATTTTTGTGCAGCACATAAAAGCAAACAATATAAAACAATATAATATAAGTAACGATATATTATAATATTGCGTATCTTGTAAATAAAGGTATTAAATAATTTATGTCTAAAATTATATTATTAAAATTATTTTATATATTATCATATATATACAAATTATATATACAAAAAGCACTGTTTTATATAGAGTATGGTTTTATATAGAGTATATGGAGTATATGATATATATATGGAGTATACGATATATAACATATATATAGAGTTTAAGGTACTAATATTGTGGAAATTCTTCAAATTTTTGAAATTAAATATAGTATTGTAATTAAGTAGGAGTTATTTATATTTAGTAGTTTTAGGACTTAAATATAGCATTTTACTTATACAAATGAAAGTGATATTGAAAATACAAAACTATATGTGATGTATGTGACCTTATCAATAAAGGTATAATAGTGTTCTAACATGGTATATCAGATAACTGTTATATTATTTTTAATAAATTTTTTTAATAACGTTTTATTTTTAATACCTAAGTTATTGCATCACATTCTTAAGTTACATTATGATAAGCTATGTTATAATATATAACTTATACTATATTAAGTTATATTATAACAATGTTGTTCACTTCTCAGTATTAGCTTTTTTTCTATAAACGTTATTTGTATAAACTACTTATGTTAAAATAAATGACATAGATAAGTATTTACAATTACAACTATTATTTAATAGTAGAAATAACAAATATTACGAGTATTTAATAAAAATATTGTGATGCAAAAAATATTATTTTAATTTTACTCAAATTTACGATAGTTTAAATTATTGAAATATATTATTTTACTATCAATATTAAAATATACGTTATTTTAATATATAAAAAGTTTTGTTTACATTCATACATCATTTAATAACTTAGTAATATAAAAATACATATATTGGAATTTTTAATAAATAAAAAGCTTTGGAATAATAGAAGGAAAAAGTTATTTCTTTTTTCTTTCTAAAATAAAATATTATAATATTATAAGATTATATATAAAATATTATAAGATATTATTCTAAGATATTATAAGTAAAATAAAATAGTATATAATTGTTGATTAAATAAATAAATCTTAGATAAATGTAATGCTATATATCACTTTTCTAAAGAAAATAAATTTCTACATTATAAAGAAGATTTCAATCTTCAAATCATCGTGTAAATTCAGTCATGGAAAAATTTTTTAATATTTTTACATACTATGATAATTTATTGTCATCTGCTACATAGTGTAAGGACATCTTGTAATAAAATGAACGAGTAGAGGCTTCAAGCTCTAAAATTGGCTCATATTTATTGTTGCACGTTTTTTTTTTTTTTTACAAGTTTATATTGCATATAGTCAATCTTTTGACAAATCTTAAATAAAAATATGTTTTGTCAAGTACTGAGACTTAAATAGTATTATTATTTCTTTTTCAGTCCTGTGGAAACATTTACAAAGGTCTTGCTCAGGTAGGAGCATGGGGTTGTTTCGATGAATTCAATCGTATTTCAGTGGAAGTGCTTTCAGTGGTGGCCGTACAAGTGAAATCAGTCTTAGATGGGGTAAAAAGCCGTAAACCGATATTTTTGTTCTTTGGAGAAGAACTTAATCTCGTTCCTACCGTTGGAATGTTTATCACTATGAATCCCGGTTATGCCGGTAGAACGGAATTACCTGAAAATCTGAAAACTTTGTTCAGGTACGTCAAATTATTTACATTTTTATTCACCTGAAATCACGATCGTACATTTTACTAGTATACATACATTCTATGAATTTAGAATATTATAATTATTTAATTTATAACTGTTCGTTGTTTGAAAAATGTTTTAAATATAATTCGTTCTGTTATAACGTTCAAATATAATTTGTTTCGGGGAGGCGATAATTTAATGTAGTTGATTTGTGTAATTTCGTGACGCAGGAAGATTAATTACTATTTTTTAAATGAAGCCACGTAATTTTTATATCATCCCCTAGAAAAGAAGTATTGATCTATTTATGTCGAAAAATTAATAGTTTAGAAAATATTTTGATATTTCTTATTTTAATTTAATTAAATTTAAAATAAATTTAAAAAATTAAATTTAAAATTAAAATAAAATAAAAAATTAAATTTAAAATTAAATTTAAAAATTAAATTTATTTATTATTTTAATTTAATTAAATATTTATATTATACAAACACGATTGTTAGCAGTTTAAATATTGTTAACTATCTCCCAAAAATCCAAAAATTTTTTCAAAAGTGTCCGAATATTTGCGAGAGTATTCAATTGACCTTCAAATGCATTTTTCTCGAAAACGAAGTCTCCGACGGAATTTGGTCATTTTATTTTTAAAATCCTCCTAACTCTATTTGCACCATGAATTGGGCCTCAACCGACATATAAATTATAGAAAGGATTATTATCGTTTTTTTTTTTTATTTTAAAGGCCTTGCGCCATGGTAGTTCCAGACTTTGACTTAATTTGCGAGATAATGCTGGTGGCAGAAGGCTTTCAAGAAGCTAGATTACTGGCAAGGAAATTCATAACACTGTATCAGCTTTGTCGAGAACTCCTATCGAAGCAGGACCACTATGATTGGGGTTTACGAGCAATTAAATCAGTTTTAGTAGTTGCTGGGAAATTAAAGAGAGGCGATCCTGAAAGAGCCGAAGATCAAGTCTTAATGAGAGCCCTCAGAGATTTCAATATTCCGAAAATTGTGACGGATGATGTACCAGTCTTTATGGGACTTATTGGTAAATTTCTTGTGATCTTCGATTACTTTCAAAAATTTACAATGCACGTAATTAATATTAAACGTGAAACAAGAATCTTTCAAATTCTCTTTTTTTTTTTATTCTGTTTTATTCATCTGTATGTGGCTTGTATTATATTACAATAATATTTATCTTAGTCTCCTTTATATTTATTTCTTGTTTGTCATAGTAATATATTATTTTATACATTTGAAGTACTTTATTAAAGTACTTTGCATGTTTTATCATAGAAAATTTAAATTAAAAAAAATATTTGGTGTGTCATATAAAATTTTCCGGAATTTCACAAATACTGTAATGAAATATGAATATTATGAATAAATAGATTGCGGATTGTTTTGCCAATCCGTATTTTTTTTAATA